ATTGCCACTGGGCGCCTACGTAAATATGAGAAAATGTTTGGACTTAGATAAAATTTGATTCTTTGAGCTTATCAACTTGCGTAGATGACCTCCAGCTGCCCTAAAACCGGTACCTTGAGTTACCGAATTTAACATCACGCGTCATCAGTAGCTCTGTTTAATCTAGCCTTGGTCTGTACACTTCTCCATCGCAATAAACTCATGCAGCTCTGAACAAATTTCCATAAGTCGCCAACCACAGTGACCCACAACGCTCCCAACTCTCTCCTTTTTTCCAGCGCCGTAACAAACAACTTTATCACTACAACGATACCCGGCAGAAAATTTATTCAGTGACAGGACATCAGTACATTATACTGTGCCCTTTTATACCTGGCGTAAGCAACTCGTTTTACAGTTCTGACAGCGCGCAGACTACTAAAGTGCGTTTGAGAAATCCCGTAAAAATTCATCATTTTATTTAGCTTATAGGGCTTGCTACATACACATTAAGGGCTTGCGAAATTCCGAAGGCATGTTTCAAACTACTGTAATTAACCGTTATTTCGTAATTACGCACCTTTCCGCCATTGCCGTACCTGCCATCCTTTCTGTGTCTTTTAAAACTAAAGGCATCCTTCCTGTGTCTTTTAAGACTCCGTTTCTTTCCTACTTTCTTTCTCTGTTCCGGAAAAGTGCTACACTTTCATCACCCACGAGGTCCCTCGGCTAATCCGTACCCATTCTCCTGTGCTATGTCACTGAAGACCCGCAAGATGAGGTAATTTGGAATTTAAGATTTTTTAAGGATAATGCATTTCGGGTTCAAAGCACTCTGAACTGTACAAGGGTGCAGCTGTATATGGCCTTCACATGTGGGAAGTTTTTTTTTGGATTGTTGCAGATTTGTCGTTTCAACTGGACGGCAAGTACAGCAGGAGGTGCACAGGCGTCAGCGACAGCATCAGTTGCAGCGGCAGCAGGAGCAGCGACGGAGATGACACCACCGGTTTCAGAACATCCATCTTCACTTGAATTAGCAATAATCAACGAACTGCTTGATCTGACAGTTGACGAGGAGAAAAAAGCAGCAGTAGCAGTTGTGAGTTCAGGACGTTTACCAGTTTTTGCCCAACTCAGCAATCCGTCTTCAGTTTCTTAAGTCTGCCTTTTGACTATTAGCAGGGTATTTTTGATACAAAACCTCGCTTATTTTGTTTTCCCTACGTTCTCCGAAAATCAGCCAAATTTCCTCTTATTCTTTCTCACATATCCGTTCCTTTTCCGCTCTTCCGTTCCTGCATAGGCTAATCCTCATTTCGTTCAGCACATCTGTGCATGTATGTCGTGACTGTGAATATTATACATACACAATATAGCGTTTACGGCGTTGTATATTTTAAGAGTGTTAGTAAAACACTGAAGGGCTATATATATATATATATATATATATAGGCCTTGGAAAGCATATATATATATATATA